GCACCCGATTAGTAGAGGCAGGCCCAGTACCCACACCCTTTGGAGTGACAGGTATGAAATTTCGGGGACGAAATTTTTATAAGAGGGGTAGTATGTAACACTCCGACCCCAAATTTATCCCATGTTTAATTAATTTAAGTGGAATTGAGAAATTACCCGTGGGATAAGGGTATTTTGGTCATTTTCTTACCCGGAAGGAATTTGGGAATTCCGGTTGTACCGTTGCGTAGAGCACGGTGAGATGAGTTTGTAGACACGTAGTGGGCTCGAATCGGAGTTGTAACGAGAGAGATATGATCGAGAGAGATAGCAGCAAAAGAAGCTCAGTGGCATAATCGTAAATATTTGGAAATTGGATTTTTGGTTAAAAAGACGGAATTGCCCCCGTCTCTCTCTCTCTCTCTCTCTCCCGCGGTTCCTCTCTCCTCTGTGAAGAGAAGAAGGCTGACCATCTTTATCGTGCCACATGTCCATTTAAGAAGCTATCAAATTTCTTCTCAAATGAGACAATAATGAATGTAGGTGAGAAAGCAACAAGGATCTACATAATTGATTTTGGTATCCATTATGATTTTCAATGGCCTTGCCTCATACAAAATATCTCTTCTAGGCCTGATTACCGTAAAGCTTCGGATTACTGGGATTACTATGATTGATCTTCCACAACTAACTCCAAGAAGACGAAGCAAGAGGGGACAAAGAGGTGGTTGCATAGACCGCATCCCATAGCCAAATCCCATTCCCACCATCAAACTGAAGGAGACTCGGAAGAAGGACAAAAAGGCTTTATTCTTTCTCTTTCATGCTGTGGATGAAGCTATTTTTGAAAGAATCTCATCATGCACTACAGCAGATCAATGATGATGCTCAAGGAAATTGAACTTTATTCTTTCAAGCCGTGTGAGGGTCATTTGTGTCCCACCGCGATCCTCTCGATGTCACGAGTGCGTAGGTGTGCTCGGATCTCGTTTTGGATACCGTTAGAGTTCCGAACGAATATCGCA